CTAGCCTTTATAATTTTGAGGTACATTCCTTCTATTTCTAGTTTTCTTAGAGCTTTTATCATGAATTGGTGTGGAATCTTATCAGAGGCTTTTTCTGCATCTATTGAGATAATCATGTGGTTTTTGTCTTTGCTGCTATTAATATGCTGTATTACATTTATTGATTTGCATATGTTGAACCATCCCTGCATCCCTGGGGTGAAACCAACTTGGTATGGTGAATGATCTTTTTGATATGTTGTTGGATTTGGTTTGCCATTATTTTATTGAGGATTTTTGCATCAGTGTTCATTAAGGAGTTTGACCTGTAGTTCTCCTTTAGGAGGTGTCCTTGTCCAGTTTTGGGATGAGTATAGTACTGGCTTCATAGAATGAGTCAGACAGTGTTCATTCCCTTTCTATTTCATGGAAAAGTTTAAGGAGAGTTGGTATTAGTTCTTCTTGAAGGCCTGGTAGAGTTCAGTTGAGAATCCGTCAGGTCCAGGACTTTTCTTTTTTGGGAGACTCTTTATTGCTGCTTCAATTTCATTACATGTTATAGATCGGTTTAGGTGGTTAATATCCTCTTGGTTCAGTTTTGGGTGGCCATAAATATCTAGAAATTTGTCCATTTCTTCAAGATTTTCAAATTTATTGGCATATAGGTTTTCAAAGTAGTCTCTGGTGATTTGCTGGATTTCCTTGGTGTTTGTTGTTATCTCCCTTTTTCATTTCTGATTTTACTAATTTGTGTCTTTTCTTCCTCATTTTAGTCTTATTTGCCAGGGGCTTGTCAGTCTTGCTTATTTTTTTAAAGAACCAGCTATTTCTTTTATTGATTCTTTGTGTGTGGTTTTTTTTTTTCATCTCTGTTTCTTTAATTTTGACCCTTATCTTTATTATTTCTTTCCTTCTGTTTATTTGGGTTTTGCTTGTTCTTATTCTTCTAGGAGATTGAGATGTAGCATTAGGTCGTTTATTTGAGATCTTTCTGTGTTTTTAATATATGCCGTCATAGCAATAAACTTTCCTCTTAGGACTGCCTTTGCTTTGTCCCATAGGTTCTGGTAGGTTGTGTTTTCATTTTCTTTAACTCCCAGGAACCTTTTAATTTCCTCTTTTATTTCATCATTGACCCATTGATCATTGAGCAATGTGTTATTCAGCCTCCAGTTATTTCCATGTTTTCTGCTGTTGTTTTTATTCTTGTTCTACTTTTAATGCATTGTGATCAGATAGATTTTAGGGGGTTAGTTCTCTTTTCTTATATTTGCTGAGGCTTGCTTTGGGCCCTAAGACATATCTATTTTGGAGAAAGTTCTGTGGGCTGCTGAGAAGAATGTATATTGTGTTGTGGTTGGATAAAATATTCTGTAGACATCAGTTAAGTCCATGTGATTTATGATATCATTTAGTTCTAGGATTTCTTTGCTGCTTTTGTTCTTTAAGGATTTGATTGTGTGCAATTGAATCAACTACTTTCTGATTATTTGTCCTGTGGTTTGATGCTTCCCATCTTCTTGTGGTTTTGTTTGCTTTCATCTCCTGTGTGCATAATTCCTTGTAGAATCTTCTGTAGTGGTGGGATTGTGGTCATATACTGTTTTTAGTTTCTGTTTATTATAGAAGATTTTTATTGCTCTGTCAATTTTGAATGATAGTTTTGCTGGGTAGAGTATCCTAGGGCTGAAGTTATTTTCATTCAATACCCAAAATACCTCACTCCATGCCCTTCTTGCTTTTAAGGTTTCTGTGGAGAAATCTGCTGTTATTTTGATGGATTTATCTTTATATGTTATTTGTTTTTTCTCTCATAGCCTTCAATATTCTTTCTCTGTTCTCTGTGCTTGTTGTTTTGATGATAATACGCCATGGGGAGGTTCTATTTTGGTCAAGTCTGTTTGGTGTACCTGAATGGGCAAAACTTTCTTGAGATTTGGGAAATTTTCTGTTATTATTTTATTGAATATATTATGTATCCCTTTGGTTTGTGCCTCTCCTCCTTCTTCAATGCCCATGATTCTCAGGTTTGGTCTTTTGATGGTATCACTGAGTTCTTTCATATTCCTTTCACAGCTCTTGAGTTGTTTGACTAAGATTTCTTCTGTTTTTTTCTTTAATTTCAGTTCTATCCTCAAGCTCTGAGATTCTGTCTTCCACTTGTTCTAGTCGGCTGGAGTGGTCTTCCACTGTGTTTTTTGTTTGACTATAGGGACTTTTTATTTGCAGGATTTCTGTTTGATTCTTTCTTCTGAGGTTTTCCATATCTTTACTCAACTCCTCTTTTATAATTTGTGTTGTCATCCTTAACTCATATCACTCTTTTTATAGTGTCCTTTGTTTCACTTTGATGTTTGTTGAAGTCCTCTCTGAGTTCCTTTGTTTGTTTCTGTGTCATCTCATGTTCTTTATTTTTGGTGTCTTGAAATTTCTGGAGTGCATCTTGTACATTCTGATTAACCATGACTAGTATCTTCTGATGAATTTCTCAGAGATTTCTTCCAAGATTTCTTCTTTGAGGGTTTTTTTGTGGAGTCACTGGGTTCCTTAGTGATATTTATCATTGTGTTGTTGGGGTCAGGAACTAGGTATCCATTTTTTTCATTTCCCACTGAATCCTGTATTGAATTTTTTTTTTTTAGGAGAATGGTTTCATCCCTTTGTCTTCTTCCCATTGTTCCACTTGATGATGTGCAACTATGTTTTTGGTAGGCTAGTTGGTGGATTTGATTGCCTGATTTAATTTTTGTGTTGTAGCTGACTTGGTTGTTAACTAGGTAGATGTATTCTATCTGTCCCTGGTCTGGAGGTATAATTTAGCAATATCAAATTCACAGGTTCAATGCCAGACCAGTTGTTTACATATTATATAGAAAACCCCTTGATGATAATATCTATAAACAGTTGGGGTTGGGAGGGGATAATGGTTATTAGGCTAGTTAGAGATTTTGGGAAGTTGGTAAAGGTGGCACTAAAAAAGGAAGGCAGAAAAAGGAGTGGGTAGGTGGATTGAGAGATATGGGGGCTGCTGAGTTTTGTGGCCCTTGGGTGTTTTGGGGTGTATTTCTGTTGTTGTAGTGGAAGGTGTTTGTTTCAGGGATTGCAGGGGCCTGGGGTTGTATACACTTGGTACAGTAGGCTAGTCAGCACATGGTGAGTTTGCAAGAGGGAAAGGTAGTGTAGTGACAGGTTAAGGGAGGATAAGAGTGGGAGGTGAAGATGGGAAAGGGTGGATGAGAAAGGGCAGAAAGAGTAGTTGGGATGGAGAAAAATGAATTGTAGTACAGAAGAAGGAGAAAAGTGAAGAAGGTGAGAATAGGGATAAGAGAATAGTAATGATAAAGTTAGTAATATAGGAATAAAAAAGAAAAAGAAAAAAAAACAATAAAAAACACCAGGTTTGGGACCCATAAAAAGTTCAGTCTATTGGTAAAAGTTCTGGAGTTATTCCTTACGGGTCCAGTCCTGGTTTTGGCATGCAAATGGGAGCTCTGATGTGGTCTCACCAGGTGACTGGCTTATGAGTGATATTTGGTCCTTCTGTCCACAAGATTAGTTGGAATTGTGAGGTGAGGTAAGACTGATAGCTCTTGCAGGGTGGTCAGAGCTCTTGTTTTCAAGGTGGCAGCTATGTTGCCCTTCAGCTGCAGCTCTGTTTGGTCAGCTCCTCCCCCAGCAAGGTGGAGCAATTCAGTTTTCAATGCTGCCCTTTGTCTAGAGATCAGCTCTGGGATCCACCTCCTATCCTACTTTGGGAGGTTGGCCTGTGCCCCAACCCTGCTCACAGCCTTTGTGCTTTTCCTGATCTCTGCTGAGTGCTGGAAGCTCCTCTGAGAGGTTGGTTTGTTGCTCCACTCTCTCTCTCTCAGCCTTTATGCCTCTCTTAATCTCTGCTAGGTGCCAGTGGCTCCTCTGGGAGGTTGGCTTGTTGGCCTGCCTTTGTCTGCTTTATCCACGCATGGCTGAGAGTTTGACTCCATCCCTCACCCCCATTCTCTGAGGCAGGTTCAGTGTTCCACCCCTACTGTCACTGTTAGATTACAGTTCACTATTTATGTTTTTCAGTTTTGCTGGGGTAGGGCAGGGTTCAGTCTGCCCAGGGGCTGCCACATGTGGTGCATGATGCTCATTTGTTCCTTCCACAGTTTCACACAGGCAGCTTTGGAGCCAGCTGCTGGCAAGGAGAAATGGCATCACTGTTTTCAGTGCTGTGTGGCGTAGGGAGGCTTTCCTTAGGCTAGGGGTCCAGGATGTCACAGAGTTAGATTCTGACTGATGCTTTATCTTCTGCTTGTTGGGAGAAGAAAGAAAAAAAAGAAGCTGGTGGGGACTTTTTTCCCAAGGTGGCGGGACACACCTTGCTCTCTGTGCTGTGTGGATTTTCATGACTGTTGGGTGCAAATTAAAGGCTGATTTAAGGGTCAGTCTTTGAATTTTATCTGCACCTAATGTGATGGCAGTTATTTTGGCTAGGAGCAATCAGAATTACCCAAGTGTAGCTCCTACGTCTCAAGGAGGTTTCTGGAACTCAGGAGTTCTGATTCCTTACCTTAGCTACCATTTTGGATCTCCTTCGTAATTGTACTTAATAAAAATAAATCATTAAAAATTGCCAAAGGAAAAATTTAAATGTTCTTACCACCAAAAACTGTGCGAAGCAATGGCCTAGCTCGATTTTGTCATTCTACTGTAGGTATATATAATTTCTATAAATTAAAATTAAGAGAATAAACATTTCATACATTCAGAAGAAGAAATTGGTCTTTCTTAAAGCTTATTATTCAAGCAACGATCAATATTTTTTCCTTCAAGATATCGTTACAGGGTTGAGGATGGAGCTAGTGGTAGAGCACTTACCTAGTATGTGCAAGGCTCTGGGTTTGATCCCCACTATCACAAAAAACAAATTAGACATGATTGTGTGTTAAAAGTTAATATAAAGTGATAATTTTACCTTTCTAATTAATCAAAAATTACATATTCATGTTTAGATTGAAATAAGTATATACTTTAACTTCTAGGAATATAAAAATAATATTGCCAAACTTATAAGTGAAATGAAAATCAAAGAGGAGGGACATAAGGTAGAAATAAGCAGGCTTTATCAGGATTTGCAGAAAAAAGGTAAGTTTCTTGTTTTTTGAGTTATTTAACTCTAAAACATCAGAAAACAATTTGAAGGTACGTATAATTTTTCAGTAATAACCAGTATTCTTGAATGAACCCTGCCTTGATACATTTTAATTTATGTTTTATATCTTTCCATATGTTTTTGTGATATAAGTATACTATTTCTAAGTTTCATTTATAGTGTTTTCACTTAATACTATCTAATGTGAAACAGTGTCCTTGAGTTTAAATAATTTAGAAAGTATAATTAACAGATTTTGCATTTATAGACTCAGCATATTAAATAGAATTTCACTAATGAAATTTTCTTCAGTAAAATAGGTCTGAAGTACTTGTGTTGACTGTTAATTGGTTTAATATGGTTATTTGAAATCTTCCTTAATGAATCCATCTTTATGCACATCAAATGCAAAAGTTAACTTGAAGCCAGACATGGTGGTACACATTGTAATCCCAGCACTTGGGAGGCTGAGGCAGGAAGAACATGAATTTGATGCCAACCTGGGCTACATAGTAAAACCCTGCCTTAAAAAGCCAAAAGAGAAAAAAAGTAACTTGAAATCAATGGTAAGTATACATGTAAAACCAACATCTATAAAACTGCTATATGAAAACATGAGATTGTCTCTGTGACCTTGAATACACATCATTTCTTGAAAACCAAAAAGAAAAACCAATAAAGGAAAAAATTCTAAATTGACCTTCAAAATTATTAATTTATGTCCTACAGCACTTTAAGAAAATGAAAAGACAAGCCACATACTGTGAAAAAATACTTGCAAATGCATATCTGATAAAGGGCTTACATCTAATACATACAGAAATCTTACTATTCACTAAAGAATCTGAGCAACTCAAGAAAATGAGCAGAACATGTGAACAGTTATACTACGCAAGAGATACAAACTCAACACATTTAGTAGGGAAATGCAGGTTAAAACCATGTGAATATATCTTCTTATACCCTTTGAAACAGCTGTCTTAAAAACTATCACTGCCATGTGTTGTAGGTGTGGAACAACTGGGACTCTAGTATATTTTTGAGACTATGAAATGGTACAGCTACTTCAAAAGTAGTCAGTTTCCTTTAAAACTGAAGATGCAGTGTGCTCATTGGGGTCCTCTGAGAAGCAGGTCCTTTGCCAAGACAGGATTAGATTTGCTGGAAACACATTTGTGAGAGCAGATGAGCTAAGGAAGAGGGAAAATCCAGCTGAGTTGTCAGTCTATGATACAGATTTAATCTTTATGAAGAGAAGAATGGAAAGATTCTTGGGTAGGAAAAGTTTTCAACTGTGAAACATTTTAAGAAAGTTTCAGTGAAGTTGAGCCAAAGTTCCCTATCAAATGAGTTCTGCAACTCGGGACCAAAGTTACCTCATTATGCTTACTAAACTCAGTCACTAACTAGGAGCAGATCTTAAAAATTATGTTCATGAAAACAATGACTCAATTATCCCCTCTGAAGTTGTAACCTACAAGGTGCATTTTCATTTTGTTGTTGCTATTGTTTTGGACTTTTTGGTTTTTAAGGACTATATATATTCTTGAAAGGATTTTTGTTTTTGTCTTCAATAATACAGGGAGGTTCTTTTGGACTTTTTGATGCAAACAGTAATGGACCGTCTGTCTTCATGATCTCTGAATTTGTAGGCATTTTCCTTGGAAAAAGTTAATAGCAGCTGTATTTTCTGCATTAGTCAAATGAGGGAAAGTGTAGAGAAGATTTCTTTCTACCGTTCTTGTAATTGAAATACTGAAAGGTACATTTTCATGGCCACAACAGTCCACCCCTTTACTACCCAAATTTGCTTCTCCATATGGGTTTAGGTAGGAACTCCATGGTTGCTGTGGGTCTCTTCTGAAAATACAACTAAAAGAAGAGTTGTTTAGCTGTAAGGATCTGGCCATATCTTTAGCCAATGGAGTCTGGATCCAATAACTGGCTACGGTCTAGGAACTAAGCAAAGCATGATTTCTAATTGCAGCACTGCTATAGTTTGAACATGGTTAGGGTCCCCCAAAGTCCATTGTGGACCTATTTAGAGGTGGTGGTAACTTTGGAAAAAAGGGCCCAGTGAAAGGTCTTTGGAGGTTATGCTTGGCCCCTTTTGGCCTCCTGTTCCCCCCGTTAAGTTGTAACCAGGACTGGGCATGGTGGATCATACCTATAATCCCAGATCCTCAAAAGGTGGTGATAGGAGGATCTTGGTTTAAAACAAGCCCAGGAAAAAGTTAGCAAGACCTTATCTCAAAAATTAGCTATGGAGTTAGGGGATGTGGCTGCCTAGCAACATGAGGCCTTAAGTTCAAACTCCAGTACCACAAAAAGAAAAAAAGTCTGTGTGTGGTAGCATAGGCCCATGGTCCCAGCTACTTGGAAGGCAGTGGTAGTAGAATCGCAGCCTGAGGCTAGCCAGGGTAAAACTCCAGCACATGCTCTTTCACACACTCCTACCATGTGCCAGCATTCACTGCCCTCACTAGAAGCCAAGACTACCTGATCTTAGACTCTGAACCTCCAAAAGTGTGAGCTAAATCTTTTCTCTTTCCTGGCTAGCTGCCTTAAGTATTTCATTTAAACACAAAGGTGTTTAATAAGGCTCATACCGTAAGCCTTCTCTTGATTTTTTTGAAGTAGATGTTAAACAGAATTGGCTGCCCATCTATCTCTACAACTCTCCACAGATCAAATTACTTCGGTTGCTCTCTGACCGTCCTAGTTATTATGGTGATTGTGGTCTCCTGACTTCTGGCGGTTAAGCCTCATAACCTGGGTTCTGTTACTTTGTGATGGGGATGATGCCATCCCCATGGACACTAGTGAGCTAAGCTCTGTGACTGCCTGTTGTACTATCAGCTCTCACAGAGGAATATGAACACTGAACTTTCTGGTGATGCTAGTTTGCCTCTCGCCAGTACATTTGTAGTTAACAGTTATCTTCTTGACCCTCCTGAAGAACATTATCCTCAGTGTGTTTTCTGCTTCACACAACTTATCCATTCCAGCATGCTAAACCTCTGTATTTTTTTCTGTACTGTCTGCCAGGGAAGCTTGAGAATTTCTACTTCACTGAGAATTGGTCATTGCTTTCTCTAGACCTGTAAGACCAAACAGAGAGTTTGCCCTACTTCCTGGGGTCCTTGCTAGGGTGTCAGGTACCCTGTCTCTAGTAGTCTCAAATTAGTTAAGCTTTGTTTACCAGCCTTACTTTCTATCTTCTTTGATAGAGCACCCTCAAAGTGTGTTCTCAGGTGCCTCTTACCTATACAACCATATCTAATTCTTAAAGATCCTGTGAGGTATGAGCACTTCCACATTAGCCCCACCACTCCCGCAGCCAGGTTATGCCGAGTCTTAGCCCTAGTTATTGGCCTAGCGACCAAAAGAGGAGATAAGAGGCAGCTTCTGAGAGGAAACTCTGTGTAACATCTCTCAGCATAGTGGAGATTGTAGCTTATACTAGGAAAGAGTAGGCCACCTCTTCAAACTTCCAGGGTTTAGAGAGATCCTCAGAGGCATTCATCCAGACGTTCTCAACCTATTTTTCAGTATTTCAAGTTTTACCAACCAGGGTCCTAATTTTATCATAGTAGACATGTTTTGACCTAGCACTTAAACATTTCTGTGGAGTGCTTTAACTATTATATTTTCTATTGCTCAATTGTATCTGCTTTTCCACTTCCGGAGGTAAGGGCATGTTTATAAGTTTCCACAGAGCCCTTCTAACTCTCACACTTACTCTTTAACCCTTTAACTTATTGTTAATATCCCTCAGTTTCTCATTATCCTTCAGCAGAACATTGACTTAATTTAGCAGTAACCAGTCAACTCTTCTTTGGCTACATGTTTCCATCCATCTTTCAAATCCCTAAATTATCACACCTGCAAGGCATTCCCTACCACTAGAACATTTTCCCCAGATTACTTCTAGCAAAAACTAACAATCAAAACCCCACTGAATATTAGGAAGTACCAATATTCTACATACCATTAAGGATGACAACTTCATTGCTCACAAAGTGATGTGAGCCAATCTCAGAACCCTGTCATACCTGTTTCCTTTTGCTAGTTCAACTCCTCTAAAAAGGAAACATCAAGATGGGAAATGGAGAGTTAGGAAAGTCTGTCAGTCCATAATGCAGGTCTAACTCCTGTGAAGGAGAAAAAGGAAAGTTTGATTTTTTTTTAAAAGCTTACAGTACATTTCTAAGAAAGTTTAGGAAAAGCCAATTGGGAGTTCTTTATTCAAATTCACCTGTAAAAGAGGTGAATTCCATATCTTCCAGGAATTGTACTATCTTATCTCAGTTCCACACCCATCACCAATTGGTTGCAACTCATAAAAATACAGCCTCCACTCAAATGCAGAAAAAGATTTTTAAATTTTTTATTAGCATATTACTATACTGGGGGTACATTGTGACATTTACATGAGTGCTTGTAATATATCTTATTTAAATTCACCCCCTCCATCATTCTCCTTTATCCCCTGCCCCCTCCTTAGAATAGTTTCACCTGTTCTCATTTTTCCATTTTCATACATGAGTACATAGTATTTCCACCATGTTCACCTGGTGATACCAACTCCCACACAGGACCCGTTTTACCTTCCTGTCCTTCATTAGAAAAGAATTATAAATTGCAGACGCTAAGACAGTGATGCATGATTATGAAGTTTTATAGCAGCTTTATTCACAATAACCCAAGACTGGAATCAAACAAATTTGTTAACTGGTAAATAGATTTAAAAATCATGGTACGTTTGTGCAATGGAATTTACTTAGCAGCAAAAAGAGAAAATTGCTGATGCATCAACAATATGGTCACTTCTAAAGCATTGTGATGAATGAAATAAGCCAGACTCAAAAGGCTATATAATGTGTTCTTCTGTTTATATTGCATTCTGAGAAAAGGGAAAATTCAAATCACTCTCTTCCAGTGTGTGGATGAAGAGATGAGTTGCAAAGAGGAACAAACACTTTTTTGATGTGGTGGTAAAATTCTATTCTTGATCATTATGGACTATTGTACATGTTTGTCAAAACTCATCAAATTGTTAGACTTCAAAACAGGGATTTTGCAGCCAGGCACCAGTGGCTCACACCTATAATCCTAGCTACTCAGGAGGCAGAGATCAGGAGGATTGAAGCCAGCCTTGGGAAATAGTTTGCAAGACCTGAGCTTAAAAAAAAAAGAAAATCACTAAAAGGGCTAGTGGAGTGGCTGAAGGTGTAGGCCCTGAGTTCAAGCCCCAGTGCCACAAAAAAGGAGGGGGATTTTGCTGCATAAAAATAATGCTTCAGTAAACCTAATTTTAAAAACAAAATAATGTAAGCAATGTCAATTACTACAAAAAAATTAATGGAAATAAATATACATCCAATAAAGACCCAGATAATGGCATTGCCCAATATGGAATTTATTTCAGTTAATTCTGATTAAGATAATCAATGAACTAAAAGACTCAACAGGAAATTTTGCTGGAGAACAGGGAACTATAATAATGAAATACATGAAAATGTGAGTACTAAAAACACAATATCTGAAAGTAAAATTTCAGTGCAATTGTTCAGTAGCCAGTTAGTTAAAACTAAAGCTGGAATTAGCAAGATGGAAGATAGAAGAGAATATCAGCCTATTGCAAAAAAAGGCAATAGATGACGTATACAGGAAAGAGAATATGAGACATAGGAACCAGTAGTGAAGCCTGTCAAGGGTGTTGTCTAAACATCTAGTGTTGGGCCTGAAGTTGCTACAGTCAGAAAAACCTGCACTCAAAAAGAAGAGCCGGGTGTGGAGTGTGAAAAGATGAGGACAAACTAGACCTGCATCTGTGTTGTACCTCCATCAACCTTGATAATAGGATGTATAAGAAAAGATTGCAAGAAACAGTACTAAACATGGATATTTCACAATGATAAAATATTAAGTTCATAAGAAAATATAACAGTAATTCTAAATTTATATGCACCAAATAACAGGGTTTTCAATATATGAAGCAAAAGTTGGCAAAACTAGTAGGAGAAACACGATCCACAATAGAGTGAGAGATTTAAATATACTTCTTTTAGTGGTAGAAAAAGTATTTGTAAATTTGCACAATCAGTAATGATACAGAAAATTTAACAAGATAAGCAAACTATGCCAATTGACAAATACAAAACTCTACAGCCGATAAATGTAAAACATGCCTTTGTCTCACGTATGCGTGAAACGCGTAAGAAAGTTGAACATATCATGGGCCTCAAAGCAAATTTCACACTTCAAAGGTCTGAAATTATAGCGTTCTTTAACTGCGTTGCAATTAAAGTAAACTCGGTAACTAGAAAATCTCTATGTGTTTGGAAATTATTTCTGAATACCCTGTGAATCCAGGTACAGATCCCAAAGGAAGCTGAAAAATATTTTGAGCTTGAATTATACAGGAAACACTACATATCAAAATTTCTGTAACACGGCTAGAGCTGTATTTATGGTAAATTTATAGCTTAAATACAAATATTAGAAAAGGCTAAAAAATCAGTTATCTAAATATATCAGGACACTAAAGGGAAGGGAAAAGAAACTAAGCCCAAAGAAATTAAAAAGAAGAAAATCAGTGAGATATCAATGAAGTTGCAAACAAATACATAACAAGAAGAATCAGAGCCAAAAATTTTGAAGACTGATAAAATTGATCAAGAAAAAAGAGGAGTACAAATAACCAGTATCAGAAACAAAAAAGAGGAAATCACTCCAAACTTTAAAGAGAATAAACTGCATAGTTAACCACTTAAGTTTAAGAGCTTTATGCCAATAAATTTGAAACTTTTTATAGTTAAATTAGCACCCTCCATCATTCTCCTTTATCTTCCCTCCTCTCATTCCTGGAATAGTTTCAACAGGTCTCATTTTTCTATTTACATACATGAGTACCTAATATTAACTCTTCTACACCCTAATTTGAAACTTCTGATGAAATAGACATGTTTGGGAGAAAAAGAAGCACACAAAGTCACAAGAACAAATTGAAAATCCAAATTGTCCTATGTCTATTAAAGAAATTAAATCTATAATAAAATTTCCCACAATGAAAATTCTAGTCTCAGATGACTTTTCTGGTGAAATTCTGCCAAACATTTAGGAAAAAAAAATTATGGCAATGTTGTGCAAACTCTTCTAAAGCATTTATAAAGAAAGGTAACATTTCCCAGTTCATATCATAAGACCAGCATAATCTTAGTAACAAAATCTTTCAAAGGAACTATGGTAAAGAAAATCATATGCCTGTCCTCTAATAAAGTATCTGAAGATGAATCCACTTCACTGCTTTAGTTCTCATTTTAAACATAATTTCTCATATCTCATATCTTCAGCAATGCTGCCTCCAAGTACATAATGGTTGCAGACTGGCCCAGGTGGTTAGTTTGTATAGTTAAGTATGTTCTTCTGGGCTTTATCTCTTCACAGGCATAGATGGGACCTTTATACTAGGTTCCTGATCCTAAACCCTGAGTATGGGTTAGATTGACTAGTGAAGATGGGAAGAAACATCTCAACACAGAGAGAAAATAAAAGCCAAGATATTTAGAGGGGAAGACACAACATGTTAGAGGAAAATAGTTCATTTCCTACATTTTCATTGCATTGCACATAAAAGTTCAGTAAGAGAAAGACTGTGGCTAATGCTGGATTCTTTGACCCCTTTAATCATCAGGTAAAGGAAAAGGCAAGTGACTGAAGGTTTCTAAGAAAGTGGTTGCCATTACTTATAGGTATGCTCTAGGAAGATTCACCTGGCAACAGTGGGTAGGCAGTAGAGGCTAATGATAAACAGTGATGTTTAAGAGTACAAATTAGTTTATTCAAAAGCATTTGATGAATTACCTTTGTATTTCAAGCATTACATAGGGGCTTGTCAAATATATAGAGAAAGTATTATATACATAAAGCAATTCCTAAAATATCTTTTATTAGTAAAATTTACTATCTTGTGAATTGTTTAAAATACTTAAGAAATAAATTCATATAAGGGTGGAGGTGTGGCTCAAATAGTAGAACACCTGCCTAGCAAACCCAAGGCCCTGGGATCAAACCCCAGTACTGCCAAAAAAGAAAAAGAAATAAAAGCATATAATATTTTTGAAATATTGAATGAAGTTTTGTTTTATTTAGTTGAATTAAATGAAGAAAAACATAGAGAACTAATAGAGAAAAAGGAGGTGGAAATTTCAGAGTTAAATGCAAAATTAAGAACTCAAGAAAAAGCAAAACAAAATGAAATAATCAAGCTGCATCTAGAGGTAGGTACTTTAGAGCCTGCTTGGTCTAAACCATTCTTTGATTACTTTTCAACACAGTGAGATAATTTTCAGGACTGGAAAGAATCCTATGACAGGACTTCACACATGCTTATTCTTTAGCAAAGGCAATACTCAATCACCATACTGTCAGCTACACTGCCTCTCAGCAGTTGACCTGAAGATGGAACTCATTGGAAGGTTCTGGTTTCCAGGGACAGTGTTGTTTCCTCTGACCATGAGGATAATAACTTAGGAACTACCTTCATTTTACAGTGAGGTTTACACAGACCTCATCAGACCACCATTCCAACATGGGGAGGGGTATTTCTAATCATCAGCATTGCTCGCTCCCCAGCAGAAATTGTGTAACCTCGGTAAAGCAATTAGAAATTCCTTTATTTTATTTCGGATAAGAGTGACAAATTTCTACCTAATAATTTCTGTGACAATGTATATCATAGGGGCAAACAAACCAACTTCCTTTAAAAAAATTTAAAGAGACTTTAAACAGGGCATAGGCATAGGCTGAGGCTCCAGCTCCTTGTGCAAAAGCCTTTTCAGTACACTATTTTACCATGCCAGAATCTCAAAGATACTGTTATTTTGACAAAATATTGTCTTTTAAAATTTTTTCTACATTCTACTAATCTCCCTTTCAATTACTCTTCAATGGCTTCTTCTCATTTCGACTCCCACTTTACCTTATGTTGTAAGAATTCATAAGTCTTTACTATTTTCATAAGTTAAGATAATGTAGAATTTGTTTTCCAGAAACTTTTAGTATTCCTGGCATGTTTAATGAGCTACTGTGGGTAATGACTGGACAGAATGGGGATTTATGTTGACTTTAAAGGCTGTTTGCCACTGCTGCCTTCTGACCAAGTGTATTCACAAACCACAGAGAAGGCTTGATGATCAACTGAAATACAATAGGCTATGTTTCAAGATCACCAGCTTCTAATCTACTGGCCAGAAATTTGCATTTTATTTGCTAACTGTGCCTTGTTGTTATCTGACCCTTACACAGAGTTTTTGTTGTTTGTCTTCATTATAACTATACATTTCTCTTCTCAAAGCAGAACACAATGTCATGGATAGTTTAAGCTTAGTTCTCAGAGAAGCTACACTAAACTAAAGCAGAAAGAAAGAATTATAATGAAATATTGTCAAAAAAAGGACTCTAAGAATGGCTTATGGTTCGTTTTCACTTGATTCAGTTTAATTCAAACCAGCAAAAATTCAAACTAAATTCTAAAAATCATATCCAAATTCTAGTATTCTTCACAGTTTCTACATCTCATCCCCCACCCCCACTCCATGTCTTCCCACAGTACAAACCAAGCACAGGGCCTGGACTGAGGTATATTGGGTAGGTTTACTTTCCCTCCTCTTTCTATACAATCAGTGCAAGAACATAGCCTGTTTTAAGCACCAGGAGACCTTATATATTTTCTTGACAAAAGAACACATGGTAATGTGAATTTTTTTTTTCTATCTTTAAGTTAAACTAGCTTGTTAACCCCAGTTGCATGATAAGATCACCTGATGTTGGCTGGGGATGTAGCTCAGTGGTAGAGCTGCCTAGCATGTGCAAAGCCCTGGGTTCGATCCCCAGCACTGCAAGGGAAAAAATCGTATTTTGAGAAAAAGATTATGCTAGCTACACTCCAGAGTCCCTCAGGGAGTGCCCAGGCATTTGGTACTTTCCCCAAATAATTTTAACATGCAACCAGATTTACTCGTTTGTTTTCATCTTTTTTTTTTTTTTTTGGTGGGACTGGGGTTTTGAACTCAGGGCTTCATACTTGCAAAGCAGGGACTCTTCTGCCTGAACCACACCTCCAGCCTTAGATTTAGTCTTATTTGGATATTCTTTCTTTAAAATTTTCTTAAAGATTTTTTTCTATCATGTTTGTAAAAGGATATCATGGATTAATGGTTGTTTCTGATTGTTGAACTAGAAACATTTGTTTCTAATTGTTGAACTAGAATGTTCTCAATAACTTTCTTTTTAAATTTGGTTCAGTTTGATGCCAAACTAGCAAGAGTTCAGACGAAATCAAAATCATATGCAGATGCTTCTGTTTTGCCACAGAGTATCTACAGAAGGGTATGTGAGTTTTCTCCCAAGACTATAACTTTAAATTAATTTACTTATATTTAAGTTTTCTTGTATCCTTATACCAGTTTTTCTCTTTAAATTTGACAAAACTGAAGTTATAGACCTTTCAAAGTAAGGTAGGTATCTTTTAAAATATAAGCATAAACCAAAATTATATTCTTGTTGTTTTGCTATTCCTTATACTTAATCTTATTATTTCTGAATTGTAATAACACTTTTTTTTGCTTCATTTAGAAGCTTCAACATCTTCAAGAAGAAAAAAATAAGGAGATTGCAATTCTTCGTAGTACCATTTGCGACTTAGAACAACGCCTTTCTATTAACAAAGATTCACACCTTAAGCGTAGACGGTTTTGAACACAGCAGTAAATTCATTAGTTATTATTAATTTATTTTAAAGCAATAAAAAATTCTCTTCTACTTTCAATATAAATTACTGTCTAAATAATAAAGAGACTGCTTTAAGCTTTTTAAATTGAGTTTATTTAGACAAATCCATACCATAAGCCATATGTTCTGCATTCTTCCTTAATAGTACTATCCATAAAGGAGTTCTAGTTTACAGAGTTTATTTTCCCTGTTAAACCATCATTGACTATGGAAATACTCTTAAGCAGTCTATATATAAGACAACATACTTTTCTTTACTGTTACATTTTTCAAGACAGCCACTCAAAATTCAGAAGAGTTACAGAATTCTAGATAAAGAAAACAAGATACAAAGGTTGTATTTATGATAGTAAAAATCAAGATGAGTCTTAGATATAAAGATAAATGGATTTTTAAAATGTAGTCTTATATACTTTTCTGCAAATATGTTAATTATTTCCGGATCTTAAAAAACAGAGTGCATTTCTTTAAAGGTTTAATCAGTTAAAATTATAAGATCAAGAAGACAAAGATTACATTGCTTTGAGAGATGAGTAAAGAAAAAAATGGAAAATATGTCTTTGTTGTTCTTCCTCCATTCTAAATTACTAACTATCCAACAGAAACCCCTAGGTTATAGTTTATGTTTCTGTCCTCATCAATGCAAATAGAATGCTGGAAAAAGAAAAAGAAAGACACATTAACCAAAAGCTGCAATCACTTTTCAGTTGCCCCATAATAAAAAATATGGTTTGGGTCAAAATTTCAATGGCATAAAATTTAAAATTTAGAAGCTAATCTGGTACATTTCTCCATGTTTGTACAAATCCAATTCCTGTTTTTAGTTCACTGATTAATTAGTTGGCTTGTAAAAATTCTGTAAATTAAATTGTGCCAGACTGAACTGGGGAATATGTCTTATTTTAAATATTTAGTTTGAACGTCATTTTCACTTTTTTGACCTATTATTTCAACTTCAGTTGGGGCTGACTTCTGTGGGTTTCAGCTGCTGATTTGCTTGTCAGGCAGCTGGAGGTGCTCGGCACTGACAAGATTCAATGACTTTCTCCTCCGCAAAAAGTCCCTGGCAGCTACATAAAGATGGGAGGTTTTCTGCGCACTGTCAGGTGATTGCAGATCCTGTTTTTTCAAATATCAGATGTCGACAATGGCAGCAACAGCTACTAGATACTGACTCTGAATCTTTGGACAACTTACACAGTAATTGGTTTACACATCCCTTTCGGCAGAGCTTCCTTTGTGCAAGTGAAGGTTTAAAACCTTCACTTGCTGGCAAGTCTCAGCTCTCCAGGTAACCCTGTCTCTGCCTATGTTGGCCCTTATGGAGATGGTGGTGATGAAGACCTAGAGGAGAGGGATGCTTAGGGATATCTGGTGCCTCTAGTTGCTGACTCTCTGAAAGCTCACTGCTCCTAAGGGGATGATGCCCGTGCTTGTGATGATGCCCGTGATGGTGATGTGGATGCAGAACTTCAGTAGCCGAAGACACATTTTTACAGAAGTCTTCATCTTCAGGAGTCTGGAACAAATTTATAAATCACATACATTGATGTGAAAATTTGTTTGCAGAGCTAATATATGCAGAATTCCAACTAATTAATTAGGATAGTGCTGGCTTTGTCTTTTACGCATCATTTTATTGGAAAAGAGTCTCATGTTAGTCTCAACACCTACACTTTTTATTAAGGGTTTAAAGAGAAAACCAAGCTACTATATTTTGTAGCTGCAGAAGCAAAACTACGTAACTTGGCCTAAAGAACTTAAGATTGCAGTGAAACCAACCAAACCAAATTCTAAAATCAGTGTGTTACCTGGAACTCTTCACACCTGTGTCAACAAAGCATCCAGTCTATACTGCTTTCTGAAGCGAAATAGTTTCTCTCTGATACTCAATAAACGCTGCTCAAAACTGGTAGTTTTTTATACTTCAGCATATTTTGGGAAATGTTTTGAACTTCTCCAGAGCTTTGCTAGTGTATTTCTACCACAGTACTCTCAGGTGACATGAGCAAAGTACTACCTGTTTCTCATTCACCATAATCTTCCATGCTGCATGATACTAGTTCTTTAGTTTGCTGAAAGTCATCATTGTGGTGCCCACAAAACACAGACTCAAGGCCTACATGTAGAACAGCATATCAAACCTCAACCTAACAGTGATTTATAAACAAAGTTATAAAATCAACTTGAGAACCTAAAGACTCCAACATGATACAACTTAATATTTGAAAAGTTTTAAAAAGTTACAAACTGAGTTTTTAGCATATGATACTGAGGTGCATTTTCTAGTTATTTATGAATTATTTCTAAATGAGAACTTAGTATCTTATTATAAATAATTTGATAAATGTTTAAAGTAACCATTTAATAATTATATAAAAACCTAAAGGTAGTAGTCATTAATTTCACAAGAACTACATCTGTATGTCACTGATTCTGTGACATATTTTTTCACATTTTATTATTTCTAAAATAAAAGTATGTCCTATTAATGATGGTGTTTTAGCATTGTACCCTACACAACATTGTGTTGGCAGTATTTTTTCTTAATCATACATCAATTTGTCATGTAAATTATGACATCTAGAAAAAAATTTGACTTGGCATATCAGATACATAGTACATTATTCTTATTTTCATGTAGTTCATATATTTTAAACTTTAAACAAGAATTGTTTCCGCCTTCAATAAAATTGAAGAAGGTTTGTTTATAACTACTAAGCATTTACACAAATGCAAAATACATTAAGTAATTAGTATAGGTTAGATAGTACTTTATTTGCATTACCTCAGTCCTTGTCTTTAAAATTAAAGAAAATAACACTCATAGGATTATTATGAGCATTAAAATGTGGGAAATAACTAAATGATAAAGTACCTGTGGTACCGCTTACCAAGTAAATAAATAATTTGTTAGTATTTGAGGTGACTTTTTTTGAGCCAGGAAAAATCTGAAAATATAGTTTATAAATAAAATTCAAAATTGGTCTTAGCCTGAGTTCACATTTTGGCAATATGCCCTATTAAGGAAATACTGCTTATAATTATTTTCTTTTTAATATGAGAGAAAACAAATCTAATAGAAATTTAAAAATAAATTCTTTATCTTTTGTTAAAAAGTATTTAAATATGGCTTTCTTATAACAATGTTTTCATGGTTATTAAGAAAGAAATACTAATAATGAGTAGAAAACTTACTCCATTTTAAGTAAATGCATCATTCAACAGAATGGGAAGATATAAGTAACTGAAATAATGTGGTCTACATTGATTTTTATTTTCTAAAACACTTCTACATAAAGACAGCAATATGGATCCTTAAAATAAGTTTTAAAGTAAACATTATATAACAGAAAATGTGTGTAATTGTAAAAAATTATTTAATTTTAATGCAACAAAAACATTATCTAATTGATCATAAAACACTAATTTATTTTGCTAAGCTCTTAAAAGATTTCCTTTCTTCCCCCAGTAAAAATAATTGAGAAAAATACCCTGAGAGAGCAGTTTCCACATTTCTTTGCACAGTAAGCAATCTTAATGGCTTCTTCTACATATGGGAAGGTTAGGAAGGAATAAGGCAAACCAAGATGGTATACAAGACGGCCACATCTAAAAAAAAAAATAAACAAAATGTTATTACAATATTTTCTGTATTGTGGTCCCATTCAAGCCAGATTGGGATAGGTATTCCATGGATAGGGTCTACAAGTGAGCTCCCAGGGACTGTAGAAAAGGTCAGGTCATAGCAAGACTGCAGTGAGTCTAATATTAGCATTCTGAAATGTTACAGACATATCAAAAAATAATGTAAAAAATGTGTGATGTAGTCATTGTGACTCGGTCAAATATAATTTTGTGATTGACCTATATATTCTACCAGAGCCCAAACCACTGACTTATAAATTAGGCTCTGCAAACCTACATGAATTTTTCTTAACTGATAAGGCAGCATAAATTCAACAGAACAAGAAATCACAGCATAACAAAGCTCTCCAAGCCTTGACCAGTAGCCCATTTTTTACATATTTTTGTGATTCTAGGGATTGAACGCAGAGCCTTGTGCATGCTAGACAAGCACTCGACCACTAAGCAACCTCCTCAGCCGTTGGTTTTTGAGACAGGGTCTCACTATGTATCTCACACTGGCCTTGAACTTACTATGTAGCCTAAGCTGGTCTCAAGTTCAAAATCCTCCTGCCTCAGCCCCTTAAGTACTGGAATTACAAGTATGTACACCATACCCAGCTCAGCCCATTTATTTAAAAGTATCTCTGATACAACAAAAATTTCAGCACAACAAAAGAACTAAAATTAGATCACTTGCATTCTGAGAAATGGAAGGTTGAAATATCCTCTTGCCCACATTTTATCCAGTACGTATAGCTTTATGTGAATGTCAAAGTGGTAATAAAACAAAAATCTGTGTCTTATTTTAAATCCCTTACTACTAAATACAAAGCGGGAAGGAAACAAGTGGGAAAGTTATTAAAAAACCTAGAGGTGAGACAGTGATTGTGAACACAATATAGATAATACTTAGGATTTAGAAAGAATTTGGTGATTGACCCGAGATGCATGGGGTGGTGCAAGTCAGTGACACAAGCCTGTCACAATTTTCCAAAGGAAAGACAGCAACAATGCTACCACACGTGAGGGAGTCTGATTGCCCAATGTTCTGCAACATAGTAGATGATGATTGGGATGGAGGGGTGGGAAAAGGTAGGCACTGAAGATTGTAAGATATGCCTTAGTGCTTGGCTGCATCTTTCCCAAAGCAGGTTGTTTCATACAATTCACACAAAAGTTAAAGTCAAAACAAATTTTAGGAGAAGATCATTGATCCAGATTTGAACAATTGAATTTAAGGTGCCCATGAATATATCTATGAAATGAATATCCTGATTTGGAGGTCAGTCATTGAGTTTTGTATAAATTTGAGATCATCGGAGTATATGCTGTAATTGTAGTCAGTTAATAGATAAGACTGTTCATACAGAATGTTCAGTGTACAGAGAAGGAAATCTAAATAACCCTGAATAACACAAGTATATACCAAATAAACAGCAGAAGGATGTGGAAGGAAGGAGGAAAGATGGAGAAAACCAGCAGAGCATCATGTCATAGAAATCAAAAGGTGAAAGTGTTTCCAAAAGCAGAAAAGTGACTTTTCACTTCTTAATGTTAAAAAGAGATTAGTACTGAAATGTGACATTTAACAATAAAGATTGATGTAAGGTGAAAGCAAATAAATACAAAGATGTATCTCTTAATCTAGAGTAGGGACAACACACCTGTCATATATGAGGAAGTCATCTTTTTCTCCATTTAAGAGAGTCCAGACATCTGTTTGTTGTTCTTCTTGTTGATAAACAGGAATATGGTCTGAAACCTTGTTTCTAAGATGTATGTATTTTAATCGAGAAGCGATTCCTTGGTGATTAACAACAACATAAGAAATATTATAATATCCTTCTTGGTCTAGTTTTACTCGAAGGTCATCCAATCTAAGGTATTTGGGGAGAAAGTACATAAAATGAATAATCTCATTTCATTTTACTATTGGTTTCTTCTCTCTTCCTCTACAATTTTTTTCTGTGAAACTCTCCTTATCATTTTTGACTGACCCATATTTGTTCTTTATGTTGTAAGACTGAAGCTTTCATTTTTTTAGAATTTTAAAACTTGTGTTGTTAAAACTTAATGCTAAGTGCTTACACAAACATTTTCACAAACACATGTATATGTATATATATGTATAGTATATTTATAAATTCATTTTACAGATACAGAGAATTCTACCCAGTAAATACTTGGTAACTAATCCAACAAATATTTTTGATACTTGTTAAATAACTCAAGACCTTTGATAACAAGTCTAGTGTTCATCCTACATTGGCAACACACTTCTGCTTCTTATATTGAAGTAACTCCTTCATTTGCAAGAGTGCTTTTTCAAACATTTCATTACACAAGTAACACATAGTTAATAGAAAGTTATAAAATATAGGTTAAAAAAAGAAGAAAAAATGTTCAAACCCCCAGGAAAACCACTATAAACATTTTAGGTTATATCTTCCTGGTCTTCTCCCTTCTAATTTGTTCTATGCAAACACAGACAATTTCTTCAAAAGTGTTATTTGACAATTATATAGTTTCCATTTTATTTTATGTCCGTTTGTATATTTATTAACTTTTAATTTTTTAATTAACTTACTAGGTTTTCCCTAAAGACATAGTAAACCTCAGAAAGACTACCTTACCTGGACGCCTGCAGAATGCACATGTATCAGCTGGCTTGAAGAAGAGCAACCACGGTCACTGTACCGTGGGAGTTCAGCATTGGATTCTCATCTCTTATACTCCAGGCTGGAGGTTGCTTACAAATGGAGCTTTCGCCCTGGCTCTCTGTTCCTCCATAGGGGAGGAGACAGAGAGCCAGGGCAAGCCCCAGTCTTCTCCACATTGCTGAGGTTGTCCTGTAAAAGAGAAAACATGTAGTCTTCTTCATAACATCACAGCCATAACTGAATTTCTATAAATCCAGCAGGTATAATTCTACTTTATAAATAACTAATCCTTGACTCTTGTCTGTGCTTTGTTGGGCTCAATATGCCATTGTAATGAGCCTCCTTGTACTAAATCTTCCTGTGAATGGAAAAGTATCACCCAAGAAGCAGGGGAGTTGTCAAAGCATTAATTATCTGGTGTAGCAAGACAGTGTAGTAAGCATGCTATAATTCAGGCTCATAGTCTAGGGAGAGATCGAGGAAAAATCCCAAAACTAGAAAGTCAGTATATTTTTAGGCACTGATCTGAGATTTTAAAAAAGGACAAGCAGACTGGTGGCATGGCTCAAGTGGTAGAGAGAGAGACATGCAAGCTCAAAACACTGAGTTCAATCCCCATTACTGAAAAAAAAAAGGCACAAGCATTTTGGGGGAATAAAGGGGGAACAAAGTGGGCTAACAATTACTTTAGAATGAACCCAGGATTAAAGCATTACAAGAAACTCAAAATCAAATTGATCAAGGCTCTAAACACTGGGCATAGTAGTACACGCCTATAACCCCAGCACTCAAGCAACTATTTCTTCCAATATTTTTTAAAACCAATATTTAAAAAAGAAGGAGCATGTTTGGACTGAATATGGGAAAAATTTTAGCATGATATTTACATTGTTAATAAATTGTTCTTATTCTAGCTATCATTTATTGAGCATTAAAAGAACTATACACAGTGCTAGGCACATTTACACATCATGTCGGTTACGCCTTACAACAATTGAGGAAATGTAAATGCTGGCTTTGAGAGAGCTTTGGCTTGCTGTGATCACACAGGCAGTGAGTCATAAGACAGAATGGATTCGAACCAGTCTGTCAGGCCCAAAACATGACCTCTCAGCCACGGTAACATGGTGGTAGTTTTTATATGGATCTCATAATAATTATAGAAGCCAGTTTTAGGGAAAAAAGAACACCAGAATAATTTAAGCTGTTTATTTCTTAACAGAATGGCTAGATTTTCCCTATTTTCTAGACTAAAGTCATGTCAGCCTTGGGTCCAATTCCCCGTACTCTCCTTCCCCCAGAAAAAAAAACAAAACCAAAAACAAATTCAGTAGTTATAGAAACTTCAGCATAAAGACAGCACTAGATATTCTGCCAAAGAGATAACTTCAAATGTCTAACTGACAGGCTTAAATGGAAAAAGTATTTTCCTCGTTTAGGTTTCTGCTGAAAAAAATAAGCCATTGGCAAAGGTTAGTGGATTAAAGAACTAACACTTTCTGATTTTCCTATTGTAATCAATATTTTTAATTTTGTTTGCTTAGTCATTTTATATATTTTTTATTTTAATTCTAACTATCAACTACATAAAAATAATAGGATGACTTAAGAAAATTGGGCTGGCAGAGTGGCGCAAGTGGGAGAGCTCCTGCCTAGCAAGCATGAGGCCCTGAGTTCAAATCCCTGGGCCACAAAATAAAGAAATAACTGGATTTACTGGAGACTGGTCCATTAACAATTGGAAAGTAGCTGTAAATTTCATCAGTCTCACTTTTCAATTACAAAATCTAGATAAATTGTCCACACACTGACCTACATTTGTTTTAAATTCCCTACTACAAACGAGGCATACAGACAGACTTTTCTCCCTGTTCAGACTTCGAAGTTCAGAGAAGCTCCATTCACATGGAGGCTCCCATTCCCCACACAAACTGAAGAGCTTTGCATTCCCTCACCGACCAGCCGATTATGACAGGTTTAACTCCTTCCAGGGTGGCCCTTCCCCACTGTGGATAGAGCCTGCTCCCCCTCTTCCAAAACTGCTCACAGCATCCAGACATTTCTGCAACACTGTAGCATAAGTACATCTCAGTCTGCCTTCAAATCCACAAGGCTGTTTTTTGGGGTTTTTTTTTCCTCTGTTCTCACTCTGCATTTCAGTAGGAAATACTTAAATTTGATCAAACCATACTACCTCTATACAACATCATACTAAACCATACAACATCACCACCTCCTGCAGAGTGAAGGAGTTGATGTCCCCAGCTGCCCCTGGGCTCAGCTGTGCAGAAATCAATAATGCCAGATGTGACCACCAGGAACTTCACCCACCACACCCAAACTCAGACTCTTGTTTCTTTTTTATTTTGTTAATTCCTTTACTTGTCTTTTCTAGGTCTTCTTTAAAGGGAAAAACAAATTTTATCAGATTCAAAAATATTTACTAAACTCTAAAAGAATCAAGTATTGGAAAACACAAAGTTCCTACTTACGCAACCTCTTCCAACCAGACAGCTTCCTTTCCCTCTGCTTGTCTGCGGCAGCTCCACAAAGCCCGGAGAGAAACTCTGATATTTATAGTCCTGTTGTTTACCTCACCCCTCAGCTGTAGTCCAAAGTTCAATGCTCTCTCTGCAGGGACCTTGCAAGCAGAGCAAGTGCCTGAACTGATTATGATGATTATCAACTTAAAAAAAAGTGGTGAGCACTGTCTGCATAAAAGGGAAAAAGTTTTGACAATTCTTAACTTAATCTCTACACTTTTCAGTCACCCCATTTAATGGTACAGTCGAGGGCGGGAGGAAGAGCTAAGGGCAGAGAAGGCCTCCTGCTCACGTTCTTTGCTAAACTATAGCAGGAAAAAGATTTGCTGAGCCAGCAAGTTATGGGGCAGCAGTATTAAAGAAAAAAAAATTCTTGTCTTCCCTTTCCTTTGTGAAGATGAGGGCTAATCTCACCCACTTTGTTCAAAAACTCACGTGCTGCTTCAAATTATTTTGATCTCCTGCTGTTACAGACTTGTGTCTATGATTTTTCTGTTTAAAATTTGAATTGTATGAGAATTTGAATTGTAGAGAACCTCTGCTTTTTTCCTTTTCATTTACAAAAAGGAAATAAGAAAATAGCTTCCTATCTGAAGGAAATCAAGCCTCATTTTCATTGTCACAGAAGTCCTAATCCCCTGGAATTTTTAAAGATCTAATGTGAAATATTTACAAAGAAAAGTATTCTGTAATTAAAAATTACTGGTAGTCATTGGACATGGAAAAGGTTTAGAAATGTCATAGTGTACAAATCAAATAGAAAGCTCCTACTCTTTCACAAAGAGGAAAATTGCGAGTTGACACACTTGAGTGAGGTAGAGAGCAATGCACACAGTTCCATAATTCCCCCCGCTTTCATTCTGTGTCCTGACTGAAAATCATAGAATATCTTCACCATTCTGTGACGCAGCCAGCTACAGGGTTTTTTCTGCAAGTTTGAGCCAAAGCCAGGGCCTGGAGCATTCTTTATCAGGCACTGATAAAGGTATTTAAAGTTATTTCCTAATGCCCTGAAAGAAAATAGCGCCCCGCCCCAGGCCCAAATTCCTTAAGCCCTCATACAAAGCCATACACTGCCCCCTCACTGCAGACATACCTAAGGGAACATCCCTTCTCAGCAGCACTAATGAGCAATGCTTCAGACTGAGCACCTGGTGTGTAGTGCTTTGTAAGGTTTGGGCACTGTTTTATGGCACTACCCTGACACTGCTTTTGGGGCAACTCTAGCTGTGGGATCAGCAGGACAAAACACAGTGATAGATGATGCTATCCCTGGATAGTGATGGTTTTCGAGTAAGCCTTGCTTTTACTCTCAAGGCATTTTGTACAAACAAATCCCTGTTGACCTCCATGTGCTAGATACTGCGGGACAAGGTGCAGGAAATACACCATTCTTCCCTAAAGAAACTTCATACCAAATGAGAAGCCATCTGAAGCTCAATTCTGCTTACTTGTTCCAACCAGCAGGTATTTCCCTCAGATTTGGGCCTCAGATTCCTTTAAGAATTCAATGAAAACACTTCATTTCTCACCAGGAGAAATAATGCATACATATATACTTGGTTTTTAAAGGAATCCTGTTTTTAAAAATCTTGGTATGTGCAGATAGTCTCCTCTATCATTCAAACTTAGTTGTGTTGGTCTGTGCAGCAGGAAAGCAAGCATTCCATTGACTCTTCCTTCCTTTGCATGTGACTTAGAAAGCAGCTTCTGCCCCAAAAGGATTTCAGCCAAGTGTACAGCTGGCTCCAAAAGAAAGTACCCAGCCATTGTGTGTCTAAGCCTGTGTATGTCTAAAACCCCCAAAAGGCAAAAGGAGAAGATAGGGAGCTTATTATGATTGAAAGAAATTCCCTCTTAGCCTCTTCTGAGCTGGGCAACTTGCAACCATTCAGGATTTTCACAAAAGCAGAATTTGCAAGCAAATATTGATTGGATGTTAAATCAAATTACATTAAAGGAAACAAATGTTTATTGGTTGCTTCTGAGAGGCACAAGGCTAAATTTTGAGACGATGGAAAATAATAAAAATTCAAAAGTGTTCTCAAGGACCTCAGAATCAAATATGGTAAACAAGTAAGCAGAGAATACATGCTAAAATGTGATTGTGTGTAGGATAGCCATGAGCACAAGGTTCTGTTGAAACATTGGAAATGATAAAAAGGAGTTCTGAACCCAGCTGGAGATGGGGTAGGTACAATGAATTTAGCATGCACTCGAACAATGTCCGTGTGTACTTCATCTCGGCTCTTACCCTCCACTTACAGAGCTGACCACATCACCGTCTAGCCACTTTTAGATTGTCTTGATATTTTTGAATAATTATAGTTCCCTGACAGGTGCTCCAGCCACTAGCACACAATCAATATTAACATTACTCAGAATAACTAATTAACTATCAAGTTTAACTTTATCCTGATGACCTCATCCCACAACTTCCAACCTGGAGTCTGGACTTAGAGTCTTCATACCATGTCCTTCTATGTCCTACCATTTGTCCCCAGAATATTTATGCATGTATTTAATCCATGTTTTAATAAGAAGACTTATCTTTTTATAAGTAGTAAGTGATTTCTATAGAAAATAGGACCCAGAGAATCTATGAATCTATGATAAAAGAGCTATTTATAGAGGCTAAAAACCATGATTTATAAATTAGACTAATGCAGATGATAACACAACATTGATCTATTAATTAACATTTGTGAAACACTGGTGTCTCAAAATATTAAAAAATGAAAGAGTGTTATTGCTATATAAAGCACTTATGTAAAACATTAACCTCTGATTTAAGTGGGGTTTTATATGCAATGGAAAAATGACAATTTTCCCAATATTTGGGGGAAATAATGCCTTTTGAGCTATATGATCTTTTCTTCCCCTTGCACATACAAAAATGTCATCCTTTGAATGCCACAAAATATTATTTGAGCACCTATATTGAAAAGTTAGTAAGCCACTGAACATGCAAAAGATGCTTAGGAAAATATAAGATGCTCTTGAAATGAAAAGATAAGTAAGAACAATGGCCAAAGGAAGGCCAGGCAACAGCAGCTTGAGTTGGATAAGGCCTAACTGGATCCTTTGAGAGTCAGTTGAGAATGAAATACACTTTTAAGGGAACTTTTTTTGAGTTCACGAGTTTACAGATCTGAGAACTGTTTGATACATCAAATAAATGCAATTAGGGAGTAACTCCTTACAGTGCCAAATTTCATGTGGGACTGAGTACTTTCAGAGAATAACAAACATCAAAAGAATTTTTGCTGGAAAACAAGATGCTAACATTAGAAAAAAAAAAAAACTTGCTAAAATCAAAGCTAGTGCCTGCAGCTCCTCCATGAGACAGTGTTAGCGTGGATACCTAAGAAGCATGGAGAGGTGTCAAGTGGCCTAAGAAATAGCATTAATCCCTCAAATTAGTGAAACAGCCACCTGAGAATAGATCAGGAGTTTGGGATCAGAAGAATAATGTGGAATCCATGCCTGGCTGAACACCTGGACAGGAGTTGTTGACAGCAGTTGGCTTTAGCTGGTCAACAAGGCAGGGTGAGAAGGACCAGAGGCAGGTTCCACTGGACAGGCACAAGTAACATAGCACAGCTGCTCTCAAGGCCGTGGGTGGCCTGAATCACGATGGTAGAGGTTCCCTGAGTACTTTGATATGAATTATTGATTCTTCATAAATATCTGGTGAAAGAATATCTGGTGAAAGAATTCATAACAAACATCAAAAGAATTTTTTGCTGGAAAACAAGATGCTAACATTTAAAAAAAAATAAAACTTGCTAAAATCAAAGCTAGTGCCTGCAGCTCCTCTGTAACACTTAAGAACTGAGAAGTCTGAATTGTAGAGTTATGATATTTCTTATAACCCAAAGAGTAAATCAAATTTAATAAAGTAAATGATTTTCTGGTCTCTATCTTGACATTACTTTTATCTTGGACATTTGCCCCAGTCAGAGTTGCCATATTACCAATGAAGAGTAAATATTTATCTCCTCATTTATTATATATATATACATATATATATATATAGAGAGAGAGAGAGAGAGAGAGAGAGAGAGAGGGAGAGAGGTCTGTGATTAATTGCTCTCAAAACAAATAATGCCTTAGCCAGGTGCCAGTGGCTCATGCCTACAATCCTTAGCTACTCAGGAGGCAGAGATCAGGAGGATCAAGATTTGAAGCCAGCCCAGGCAAATAGCTTGCAAGACTCTATCTTGAAAAATCCCTTCACAAAAAAGGGCTGACAGAGTGGCTCAAATAAAGAGTGCCTGCCTAGCAAGTATAAGGTCCTGAGTTCAAACCCTAGTGCTGAAAAAAAAAAAGAGACTAATAATACCTTAGACAAACAGCTAAAAACTATTCACTCCCAATTTTCTGTTGTACTTCTAGCATGTTACTCAGTTTGCCAAGAGGCCAGGTTTCAACAGTGGAAACATTTTTCCAGAACCATTCCTCTCATCTCAAATGGCTATTTCAAGATAATCTATATTCACTTTCTAGTGGTCTTAAATTGCCACTTCCTTTTACAGATGTGTGTGTGCTACCAGAGTCTTCCAGGACTTAGAATTTCTCAAATCTTCAGAGTATTTAGATAGAATCTTAAGGCAAATCTTAAAGAGTTTTCTGACAGAAAACCAATTAAACATAATACATAATTGTAGAAAAGGTGGCCTTACACATGCTAATTAAAAATAACTCAACTTTTCAAAACAAGAAACATGATCTTAATTTGTATCTTACTGGTAGAAAGAATGTATGGATATAAATCATTCTGTCTGTGCTGTTCCACAACTACTTTTAAATTAACAGTACATCATGGACATCTTTCCAAGTCATGGACATCTTTCTATGTCAATTTTTAAGAGTTACATCATTATTTTTTTTAACTTCAACAATCTTATTAACAAATTCATGCAGTTTATTCTTTAACCACACTAATGTCAAAAACAGCATCTCTATCGAGATCCAGGATGGAGATAGAGACTAGTAAAGAGTCTCTTTAGAAAAGAATTGAAAAGTATATGCATCTGTATAA